TCTTCCTTTTCTTCTCATTCTTTCTTTCTTTTCTTATACTTCTCACTCTCATTTCCACTACTGCTTATTCATCTCACTCTTTCTTTTTCCTCTTGCTCTTCTTCTTCTTTGGTTTCTTCTTCTCCCTCATTCTTGTTGTTTTTCCTCTTCTTATTCTTTCATGTCATTCTCTTTATTACATCTCACTCTTTATTTAATTACATTACACGTCCTGTTATATTGAAGCATAATTTTAATTCCCCCCCCAATATTTTTATTTCCTGTATTTTGTTTTCTCTTATTGTTCATTTATTTACCAACAAAAGCTCAATTTCGTTGTTCTATACTTCTCATCTATTATATACATACCTTAAATATTCCCTGGACGTTTCATAAAAAATTCAGCATTAAATAACCCAACAAGGCTTGACATGTCATAAAATCAACCACCAGTACTTCTTGGTTCAATAAACAATGCCAGCCTGTTTGGCCATTATAAGTGAATAGCAAGTTTGATCCTCACTAGGTGTCTCATATAAAATTTGTCATTAAATGACCCAACAAGTATTGACATATCATAAAATCAACCAACCGACAATTGACATAGAGCAATGGCTAGCAAGAATAGTTTGATTGACCATTACTACTGTATCATGAGTTTGATCCTGACTGGGTGCTCCATATGAAATTCCATATAAATAACCAAACAAGGTTTGATATGTTGTAAGATCAAGCAAACAACAATCGTCACTGGTCAGTGGTTAGAAAGTCTAATCTGATTGATTGGATAGTGAGTTTGATATTAAATAACCCGACCTGATCATAAAATCAGGCAACCTAACTTAACCTAAGCTTTGAAAATGTATTTATAAATTATATGAAATAATTATTATTAATTGATATCCTCTCTGACACTTAGATGTTTTCAGCCAGGTGATATTTCAAACAGTGTGCACTCCCAAATGATGTCAGGTATTCCCAAGATATCTTCTGAGACTGAAATATTCCTGGAAAAAGTCCAGAGTGCAACAACTGCAAAAAGGACAATTTGAATATCTTCTTAGTATATTTCATCAATTTATCCAGCTAGGTCTTGGTACCTTGATATTTTTGCTTACACTGTGTTACATACAGTACCTATGAACACTAATGGGTATGTCCCAATCCTCATAAATACATTGGACACTATTTTAAGTAGGGATAATAATTCTGTCTATGTAGTCCACCACTAGCAGTGGTTTACCTACTTCACGGTGCTGGCGAGTATTGTATTTTGCTAATGTTATAAAGATTACAATTTCATTTCCAACCTCTGTTTTGGTTATTCCTCATTCACTAACCCTTTCTAGGTTACAACACACTACTTTCATGATGTCATTCAAACGTACATTTATGGCTTCTCTTATGCATTTTTATTGTTATTATTATTATTATTATTATTTCTTTTATCTTAATTTCATTTATTTTTATCCCAATTTCTAGGCTATAACTGAAATTAAAATGAAAAAATACAAGTTAAAAATTTTAAAATAATTAACAAGGCTTCAAATCTTCTTCTTCGATGTGCTGTGTCCCTTTGAGATGTTGGTGATCATGGCGCTTCACAATTTCCTGTCCTATATAGCTCGTAATACATTATGTCTGCTTGGCATCTCTCCTAAACATTATTCCACCATCTATTTACTCAAGCTTGCTGGTTAGGTTAATGTTTTTTTTTTACTCTGTCCCTCCTTTCTTCAATCTGTCTTGTGAGTGTCAGATTTTCTAAACCCCCTTTCCTCATTATGTACCCTAGAAATTTCAACTGTCTAATAAATGTCCATTTTTGTGTCCATTTTTTATAATGCCCATGTAAGCTCATAGTTTCTGGTTAATAATATTGTAAAGAAATCACTAGAACAAAAGATTAGTGAATAAAAGTTTTAGTCACATGGATTAATAATACAATAATAGTGAATATCGTAGTCAGTGCAGCAAAGCATACAACATACTTTGTGATCCTTTTAAATGACTTCTTTCCATCACTAATCCTATAGACATATGTTCCACTCATAGTGAATGGTCAAATCTATGTTCAACCTTTAGAGAAGGTTGGTCATCTTGCTACACAACACATTTTCTTTTAAACGTTGTTCTTGCTAACATGTTTAGTCCATGGTATTCTCAGCATCCTTCTGTAGAACCACATTTCCATTGCTTCAAGTCTCTACTTGATCTATGAAGAAATTATCTAGTATTCACCAACATATAAAAGGATTGTGGGCACATGTCCAAGAGGTTAGAACATTCACTTTCTAACCATGAGACCCAGGTTCAAATCTCAGGGTGATTGATTTGTCAGGAAGGTGAATTCTTGATACTATCGACCTGGAGGAGGTGATTACAGTGTGTGGCACATTTAGAAAGTGCTTGAAAACCATACCGCAGGTTGACCTAAGACATGTAAGTGAAATTGGGTAGACAGAATCCTTTGGAAGTGGTTGATGGTTGTGTTAGCACGAAGTCACAAGTCATCGTGACCGAGGATTTGAACGTGTTGGCCTTTTTCAGACTGTTGATCATGCTAGATAACGCTCTCTCTCTCCCAGAAACTGTAAATAAGGACTGCTCAACATAGTTGCAGTATAAACCACAGGTGGGATCTGTGGATGTTAAACAAACACAAATATGCCTGAGCAGGCGTCTGCAACAAGGATTGACTAGCCACAAGTACCCATCCATCCATTGAGGAGTGATATTATGTAACAGTTCAGTACTCTTTTCTTTGTTTCTAATGAATTTGTTTTGTTTCTTAATAGCTTTTGGGAAAAAAACTGTTGGCATATGCAAACAAAGATGGTAGTCAGATCTAGACTTTCATGCAGATGTCACGTATGGCGCCAAAAACGTTTAGAAATATATAAACTGTCTGCTGTATACAACCGCTTTCTTGGGCCAATTGTTAAAAATGGCTTTGAGCGAATGAAACCTGGAGATCTTAACGCGGACCATCCTTCTTTGCCAAGACCCTCAGACCTCACTCACTCAAAGCCTTTTTTTCACCACTGATCTTAGGTTTATATATTTTTAGGAAACGTCTAATGTTACAGCTGCCATTAACCTAATTTGTAGAAAAATAAGGAATAACGCAATATGGCTATATTTGAATGACTGCTGTTGATGTGTTTTTAGAATCTAATTAGTGAGACCTAAAGAGTTGCATTTTCAAATTTCCTGATGCTATTCATTTTTGATAGTGCTGTGCGTGTCATTGCAGTTCTAACATCTATGTCTTTCTGTGAGGGGTTCAACCATGACCCCAGATTTAAAATATCATCCACTTGATTTAGACTGTGACTTGTTAGTGTCTTTCTTTTAACCCCTGCCCCGCCAATTAATTTGTGAAAAACGTTTCATTTTCAAACGATTTTTTTATTTGTTTGGAAAGACTAAGACACTGAAGGAGCTTGAAGTGCCCGATCTGTGGCTAACACAGACGTATGAGTGGACAATTAGACTCGTTTTAAGCTCAGAAGGGGAAAAAAATCAAGATCGACGTATAAATACGTCTGTAGCTAGTTTTTGAACGTTACGTTTTTGGGTGTATGTATTCGTCCGTGTCTGAAAAATATACACGTCAAGACTGGGAATCAAACAGGAAAAATTCTATAGTAAATGCCATAGTAAAGATGTATCTGTTCTATAATAAACAAATAAACTCTATAATAAACAAATAAATTCTATAATAAACAAATAGATTCTATAATAAACAAATAAATTCTATAATAAACAAATAAATTCTATAATAAACAAATAGATTCTATAATAAACAAATAAATTCTATAATAAACAAATAAATTCTATAATAAACAAATAAATTCTATGATAAACAAATAAGATATAATGTTCAGACATATGCTTCTATCCTTATCTTAATTGTTTCATGTTAACGTACTATTACTTAATATTGAGTCCTTTCCTTACAAAGGCTTCTTACCTTAAAAGCATCAGCTTCCATCTAGTTTTCTGTTAGTGACTTAGGTAATATCGAACTTTTTAATCCGTAGAAGAGGACTGTTTTTCATTTTGACTTTCAGATGGGATTCATTTTGATAATGCCGTTGACGCCATACATCTCTTATATCTTTTTGATATGATCTCAGCCACGGTCCCTGATATTCCTTGTCACAGTAAATTGCTTAATATGAAAAAAAAATGGATAGATTCTATAATAGTTCTTAAGGTGATAGCGAACCATTTCTTCCGCTGAAAAGAGTTCCATTATAAAGAGCTGCTTTCAAGTAAAGTCATATCAAGTCTTATCAGAATTTTTGGAAACTATTTGTGTGCGTGTGTGTGTGTGTGTGGCAAATTACTTACAAGCAGCTGTTCAGCGGACAGAAAAAAAAAAGGAGAAAACAGAAGAGAGAGAAAGAGGAAGATTTAAACCGAGCTTTTATAGTCCTTAAACGTTTGGAGTGTCTTCGCAGACCAAGTGGGGGTAATCTCGCAAGAGCAAAATAACTTTACTTTCAAACCAGCCAAAAAGGGAAAAAATAGTTATTTTCTTTCTTTTTGTTTTGTTTTTTGTTTTAGTTGTTTTTCTTTTTTCTACTTTCCTTGATCAGTTGAATATCCCGTGATTGATAATTGCTCCCCAAACTCACCAAAAAAGCAGCTACAACATAGATCACAAAAATGAATTTTCCTTACAGACATATTTTGTCAATTGTCTGTTCATCTTGTTTGCCATGGACACAGCGTTTTTCTTTATTAAATGCCACATGTTACAGGATAAGAGTTCCTATAAAATTCTTTTGTGTATATAAATACAATCCCCTACAAACACCCAGTTATCAAAGCTAGAGGTAGCAACTCTTTATATTCTTGGTGTATCAAACCTAACATGCTTAGAAGTAGGTAGCTCTAAAGGTTCGCTTTGAAATAGAATACGTGACACGGAAAAGAAATTACAAAATCTCCTACAGAAGGTAGCGACGGAGAGTATGAAGAAGAGACTAGGCATAAGCCACAAAATAACA